TATGAATGTGTGTGTGAATGTTTCCCAGAGATGGGTTGCGACCCGGGATTAATAAAGGGACTAAGCCGACAAGAAAATGAATGAATGAATGAAAAATATTTATCAAAATCTAGATTAATGCTTCACAAAATTAATGCATAAAAGGCACAAAAAAGCCCCAAATCACAAAAAGCAAATTGTCATCATTTACTCATTCTCGCAAACTGGTTTGTGTTTCTTTTTCTGCTAAACACAAAATAAAATATTTTGAAGAAAGTCTTTGACTTCCAGTGTATGAAAAAGAAATACTCTGTGTCAATGGTTTCAGGGTTGCAACATTTTTCTGAATATCTTCTTTTGTCTTCGACAGTAAAAAAGACACTCACACAGGTTTGTGACAAGTGAAGGAGCAAATGATGAAAGAATTGTCATTTTTGAGTAAATTATTCCTTTAAAGTTGCTATTAGGGCTGAACAAAATATAATTTTAATAAGCATCAATATCGCATCATATCTATCTGCAATAGTCACATCACAGGATTAGGTTATTCAGTAAGGAATAAAAGATGAAAATATTATTATTATTATTAAATATTAATTTAAAAATGTTTTTATACAATGATGATGACTATTTTTTTAGGATTTGATTGTTCAATTTCTGTACATGAATTCTGGTTCCCAGAAAACGTTTTTATTTTTCTCTGTTGTATTTATATTTGCTTGTAATTTATTATATTTTATGCAGATGCACTACATAGAAAAAGACTTGATAATCCCAGTCGATCTAAATTATTCAAATCATCTGGTGAAATTACATTTGTGTACACACTACCTGTTAAAAGTCTTGTTGCTCCAGGATTGGCCAGCCCAGTCACCAGATGTGAACATTATTGAGCATGTCTGGGGTAAGATGAAGGAGGAGGCATTAAAGATGAATCCAAAGAATCTTGATAAACTCTGGTCCAGCAAGTCCGCTTTCTTTGCCATTCCAGATGACTTTATTTTTTTTATTTTAAGACAGTATTAGTTATTTTTCCACTGCACCATGACTTTATATTCTATATTGTACATTATTTCTGTTAAGTGACAAGACTTTTTTCTAAGCAAAGTCAGTGCTTACTGTCCTAATTAAAATATAACATTTTGATCATATTTTATTTTGATAAAATAAACATAATCTAGAGGCCTTTGCCTTTCATATAAGCCACTTCTGAAACCAAATGACCTATATTATTTGTTTTTCCTAAAACTTGGATAGGTGCAAGACTTTTGTCAGGAAGTGTATCACAAAATATATCTCAGCAAAACAAATATAACAATGTCAGATTTTTTTCAATATCGTACAGCCCTAGTCCCTATCTCAGAAGCGGGCCAGGAAAAGAGAAGTGTGTTTTGAACTGGGGGCAGAAAGTGAGTGTCCTCATTAGTGTCCCGCTCAAACACTGATGATTACAGTACGAGCGATGCTGTGTTTCCAGACAGCGCTGGTGAATGAGATAATGACATGGTATTTATATGCACGGCTGCAAAGGTCAGTGGGTAATGAAAGCTCCTCCTTTGCCTTTCTGCCGGTTGAAGCTCATGTCCTGAGTGCTCACTTCCCTTTTATTTGAGGAGATTTAAGGGGATGAGTAATGGACTTCCATCCTTGAAGTGTCACTACAGAGCAGAAGCAGCTTCAGCCATTAATCAAACTGCCTGAGCATGAATACAATCACCAGGCAGAAACTTAATGTGTCCCACTAATGTGACGGACTCGCGTTTGAGTGTTGACACTGACACCCGCTGAAAATGACTGGTGAATGTCATATATTAAACCGATAACTGATTTGATCCAGCAGGAAGCAGGCCTGTCTGATTTCATGGCTTAACACAGAAGCAAAGGGTCTTTTCACAGTATGTGTGTACTGTATATACAGCGATGAACTGGGGATATATTTAGAGACCTCTATAAAAAATAAGGATGTTTTGCACTTACAAGGTATGGGTTTGAGTAAAATGGTAAGTTTTGTTGGTCACATTTTACAGTAAGATTTCATAGTTAGCATTAGTTAATGGATATAGTAGAGTGAACTAATGCTGAATGATACTTGCAGACATTTAATAATCATAGTTCAAAATTGAGTTGTTAAAAACAAAATTCATGTTTGTTAACAATAATTAATGCCCTGTAAGTTAACAAACAATTAATAAACAATAAACATTTATATATATATATATATATATATATATATATATATATATATATATATATATATATATATATATATATATATATATATATATATATACACAAAAACATATATAAATATATACACACACACACACACACACATATATATATATATATATATATATATATATATATATATACACATAATTGAGCAGCTTCCGTGTCGTGCTTTGACAATACGCAGTGCTGTAGTCTGATTTTAGTGCAGACGGCTTGAACAGGATGAGTAAAACAGACAGATTTACCTCACCTGATCAGCTTAATCTCTGTTAAGACGATCACATCACCATGTTTAGAGAAAGTCAAGTTAAATCCCATGACCTGACATTACTGTCTCACTCTCTGCTGTCCTGGTTTTATGTGTAAAATCAGGTCATGGTGTCAAGTAAGAACATCAACTGCAGGTAAAATCTGCTATAATGAGTGTTAGAGGAGTTCAATTATCACAATAGCTAATACAAACTAATCAAGATTAAATAAAGTGCTGAGCTGACTCAAAGCTAAAACTAATGATTAGTTAAATTATATTTTATTTTTCTGATTAAAAAATATTAACTGTACACGTCTCTTTATTGAATTAACTTAAATGTTTAAGTGCAGATAACTTAAAATGGCTAAAAGACCAAACTTCCAAAATTTTTTTGCTTTTATGTTCTTTACTTCTATTAAATAATTTATTTATTTAATTTATTTAATCATCAAAACATTTTTTTTTACATAAACCACTTCATTAGGCTTATACTGCATTAACATTGCAATGTGAACAACAAGTAAGCTTCTATTTTGTAACAGCGACCTCACATTTTTAAAAGACATAAAAAACAAAACCATGAGCTCATTTTAAACAATAAACTCAAATTTTTGGTTATAATATATATATATATATATATATATATATATATATATATATATATATATATATATATATATATATAATAGAAATACATAGATTGTACAGAAGATTGTAAGTTTGCATTTTTTTAAAAGAAAGAAAAACATCATGAATTCACATCTTTAGAAGACAGGAACTCCTTTTAAAACACACTGAATAACATATAAATACAATTGCGCACAAAGGCCATTTATTCTTCAATCCAGGTGGCTTTATTGTTTTGATCTAGCAAATATTGCTTAACAAAAATATTGAGAATTATTTTATCATTACTAATTCTCTATGATGTTGACACCCATTTAACATTTTTATGGAAAACCTGATACATTTTTTCATAAAAAATAAATAAATAAATTAATTAATTAATAATAATAATAAAAAAAAATAAATATATATATATATATATATATATATATATATATATATATATATATATATATATATATATATATGGCTATGTATATTGATTATATATGTAAAAAATTACAACAAATAATATATTTTGAGCAATAAGCAATAGTTTTACGTAACATTAAAGATGTTTTACTATAAATTTTGATTAAGTCATTCTACAATAAATGAACCGCCAAATTTTCCATTCGTAACTTAGTATTGGGAAAAACCCATACACACTCATTAACCCACACACACATCCACTATGACCAGTTTAGTTTACCCAATTCACCTATACCGTACGTCTTTGACTATTTGGGATGATTCCTAACTCACTATAAATAACTAGATTTTCTTACTTTAGGACCTTAAAGACCTTGAAGAATCCCCCCTTACACCCCTATTTCTCCCTTTTTCCCTTATAGGGTGGCACGGTCGCCCAGTGGTTAGCACTGTTGCCTCACAGCAAGAACATCACTGGTTTAAATCCCTAACAGCTCAGTTGTCGTTTCTGTGCAGAGTTTACATGTTCTCCCCGTGCTCGTGTGGGTTTACCCCAGGTTCTCTGGTTTCCTCCCACAGTCCAAAAACATGTGCCATAAGTGAAAAGATCAATCTAAATTAGCACTAGTCAAGCTCTAAACCAGCAATATATCTCTACAGTTTATAATCTGTCATCAGCTCTAAATAATGGGGGAGTTCTCGACTTGCCTGAGCTCAAACTCCCCTCTCGCCCAGCAAACGGGAGGGTGAACTCCCCAAAGTGTGGACTATTGATACATATATTGAATAGTAATTTATTGTTATGTAACATTATACATGTTTTACTGTGACTTAGATTTGTTGTTTGGATAAAGTTTGATGACTTTATTATGAATTAAAATGTTTAAATGTGATTGTATTTAATGCAAAACATAGCATGATGCCTTAATTAATAATTTATATTTGATTAATTTCAGTGTGTTCATTTATATAGCATCTAAAAACATGTTAAAATGAATAATTTATTTTGAATAGTAATGTAATGTGACTTGATTATTTCTATCTGCCTTTGCAATCAAAATAAGGATGACCCAAAAATGTGATTGTATTTAATATAAAATATGACATAATGTCGTATTCCTTGATGAATAATGATTTATATGTCAGTGTGTTCCTTACAGAAGGTATATTGTATGTCTTGAAAAGGCGTGCAAATTGCCAAGTGATTTGGTTTCATTTGTCCTGTTTGGAGCTTGAAAGTCACCAATTTCTGTCATTTTTACCTTCATTATATTGAAAATAGCTGCTTGACAAATATTCAGCAAATTATTATCATTTGCTGTTGTGAAAAGAATATATAATGAAGCTCCTTTTGAAGCAGTGATAACAACAGACGTCCGTAATTATATAATAATGTGATGCACAGAATGAAATATAATGAAGGCCCAGGTTTGGTCTTTTTAATGTGAGTAGATGTAAGTTCTCTGAGGATGTGTTTAAACTGAGTGTGTTGCTCCCTCAGGGTACTCCTGCCAGTAAAGTGCGCTACAGAGTGGATCAGGAACTGTCTCCTTACAGTGGAAGCATCTTTGATGTAGAGACGGACACAGGACTGGTTATCACCAAAGTCAACCTGAATGAGCAACCCACCACTGTTTTCAAGGTGAGTCTGAGCTCAGTACACGTCTTTCTGCTCATATGTGCCTAATTTGAGTCAGAATCCAGCTTAATTTCAGCTAGATTTGAGTTAAGCTTTTGTTTTAAAGCAAAAAAGGACAATGAATATAGATTGGATTTATCTTTTTTTTTTGAACATGCATAAACAATAACTTGCAATCCTACAATGGGAATGGAAAGACAATGCACAAACCAAAAAAAGGCAGACACAGCAGCTCACAGAACATGCAAATAAAAGATGGTGACTTTTTATTTTGATGGTCTGTTTGTTTAATTTTATTACATTGCATTTACAAGCTAACTAATTCTCATTAGATTATAAGTAGACTATTAGGTTGGGGTTAGGGATCGGGTTAGGGTTAGTGCAAGTTGACATGCAAAGTTTTTTATGGTCAGTTCAATGCCTGTTAAAGGAGCAGTATCAGCAGATATTAAGCAGACAGTCTACTAACGCCCCATTCACACGGGGCTTCAGCGTCAACGCTTGACTGAAGGCGTGTCTGAAGTTAGGGCTGAAGCGATCGTCATAAAGCATCAGCCAATGAAATTCAGTCAGCAATAGGCCACTGTCTGAGCTGGTGTATTTGCATACAGCGATCTGATTGGCTGACGCTTCCGTTGGCGCTTGAAAAGTTGAGCTAGTCCCAACTTCAGCGAGCAACGCTTCTGAAGCAGTGCCGACGGATCCACAATGCAGTTCGGCAACGCCTGACGTCACCCATTCAAAGTGAATGAGAAGCGTTGACGCTGACGCCCCGCCCTGTGTGAATGGGGCGTAATACTTAAATGGACCATCAAAATAAAGTGTTACCTAGAAAATGTTATTTGTACATTAATTACAAATAAATAAATACAATTGGGCAAGATGGCCTTAAAAGGAAAGTTCACCCAAAATAAAAAATGCACTTATTATTTACTTACATTTGCGTGTTTACAAACCTCTATGTTGAACACAAAAGATGATATTTTGAAGAATGTTGGACACCTTTGGCATCCATAGTAGGAAATTCAAATATGATTTCCAACATTTTTTAAAATAGTATTTTGTGTTCAACAAAAAAAAAGCTTTTTACTTTGTGTCAAGTGAAGGGTTAATAAATGGTGACTCAAATTTTACTTTTGGGTGAACTGTCCCTTTAACCTGTTAGCCAGCACTCAATTTTGGGGATTTACACCTACCTAACTTTAAATAGTAACAGTTCCTCACACCAGCAAGCTACTAACACAAATTATGTATCATTGGAAAGAAGACACTTTGAGCTTTACTGTGGTAAAAGGAGAAGTTACATGTTAATAAATATAAAAAGTTATACATTATGAAGTCATGAGGAAAAAAATTGTACTGTGTTCAATATTTGTTTTTCATATAAAAACACTGGAAATTGGGTGGTTTTGAGTTTGATTGTGCGGGTAAAAATTGACAGGTGGGTAGTGAAAATTTGGGCGGTTTTGCAACGGCGGGCCCCTTATGAGAGCCTTCAGATGTCTGGGCGGTTGGTTTTGGATTTTGGCAGGTTTTGGATAGTTTTGCGGCTGGAGTCAGTCAGCTACATCTGGCAACACTGACTACATACCTGGTGAATCACATTGCATGTTTTAAATTTTGAACGTATCTCTTTAATGCATTTATGCCTACTGGTCTGTGCATACAACAATTAAGTGTCTCATTAGGTGAGTTTTGATTGGTTAAACTGAGTTCGTATTTGATTGGCTAGGCCGTGGACCGATACCAATCCATGGATCAATTGATACTGGGCTGCACAAGAAATCATGAATTATTTCAGTTTTATTTTATATCTGAGTATGAACTATTTTTTTTAATTTTGAAAAATCTTTTATTTTGAAAAATGTATTCTCTTCATTACATCTCGGTCACTTGAGCGCCCAAACTTAACCCACAAACAGCAAAATAAGTAAGAAACAGACGTCTTTGGAAAGTTTCTTCGCTAAGGGCAAAAGGCCCAGTGAAGGAACCACGAACTGCCAAGGAATAGATCCACAACCCATTTGTCAACAAGTCAGGTGAATCTAGCATGTCTGTAAAAGAAGATCAACTACTGGAGATTGCAAAAGACGGTGGCCTTTTAGGGTCCAGTTGCATATCGTTTCTTTTCTAGAGTTCGCGGAGGTTCATATACAGATGCACATAGAACTGACCGAATTTTAGCTTGTATGGAATATACAGATTTCGGTAGACTAATTGTATCAGATAAACACAGACCACCCAAACAGTGCTTTGTCATTTCTGTCCATAAATAAAACTTGTATCAGAGTGACTGCAAAGTTTGTCTGCTTGACATCCTCTGAGAAAACAGTTGATGGTCGCCTAGCAGTCTACAAACCTGCAACCTTTTATTTTGACCAATTTAATTTGGTTTCATGCATTTGAAATTGGCAACAAAATTTGTTTATGAATTATTATTGAGACTAATCTAGCTCCATACAACAGTACCAGATACCACGTTCTGCCATTGTTGTTTGCACTTGCCTTTTATGGTTCACAAAACCCTCAAGTACTTTTTTTTGAGATTTGAACAGGTTTGTGTGTGTTGAGCATCACTTAAGACAATGTTACTACCTGTAAGCTTTAATTGTGGGGAAAATAGGATAATTTTGAGCTTTTGTCAGCTAATTTTCTTTTTCCGGGTTTAAAATGATTTTTGGGGCGGGATCAAAATCGGTGACGTATCGTAAAACTGCAAGTCTTTGATTTTTCATTATTATGGATAATAATTAGCCTATATGGCTAATTTTTCTTATCCTATGAGGAGACCCTGCTTCTTAATTAATTATGACTGCGCATGTTTTCCGAAAGCAAGGCAGACTTGCCAGTGCCAAGCTGTGTGACCCAATGTTGATGACTGGGTGAGACCGCGTCCACGGACCCATGGCACACAGTATTTAGCCATTCATGAAGGGTCGTATGTGTTTGTTTCCATGTTCCCCGGGTTTGTTGCATGTTTTTCCCGCGATCCTGTTAGGGCCGATGTAGCAAAGTATGTGTGCAGCAAGCATTTTTGTCGGCAGAACAGTACGAGAATTGGAGAATGGCGGGCGTTGTCTTTTATCAGTGGAGTTCGTTTACATTTAGACACATCGCTGTGCTGCTGTGGTCACCTAAATCCTCCAGATTACCAGCAGGGCTTAAAGTTATAACAGACAGGGCAATAGAGCTGCTGCACTGAGTCTGCATTCAGACCTGGGAATAGAGGGAGAAGTCCTCATTTAGTGTTTATATAAACACAATTATCTTTATAATATAATAAATTGTGGTTGTGTATATGAAATAACGCATAACAAATGTAGCAGGGCATTAAATTACTGTTTATTTCTTTGCAAACTATAAAATCATGCATCATCTCATGGTTTTAGTCTCATTTTGTGAGGCGACTGACAACTTGTTTGTTCGCTCCCTGCTCTGCTGGCCACGCCCACTCCTGCCTCTAATTTGCAGAGCTCCACGCCCATTATGGTGCTTTTTTTTATTCTGAGGTAGACTTGAAT